CCCCACTCTCTCTCATAGATCGCGTTTCACACAAAGAAAAGTGTCCCGTTTCATGTCAGCTTCACCGATTTTCTTGAATCAATGACCCAAAAGAAACCACGAGGGATAATGGCTTAATAAGAATATAATGTGAAAAGGACATATATTATTATATATACATTTGTATATATAACAAATCCCGGGGAGAGTTTACCCACACCCACATGACGAGTGTACAGGTTACAGGTCAGGTGTTAATATATAGGCCATGGAGTTGCCTCACAGAATTGCTATCAATAATGAGCAGGTATATATATATATATATCCCGTCTCTGATAGGCCCCGAAAAATAGAAAATATTTAACATTTCAGACAAAATTGGGTGAACCGCAAAACTTTGCAACTTCTAACAAAATCAACTAAGTTGTTCTGTTTCAAATAGCCACTATCTGTACTTTGATGAACATGTTTATACATTTGAAAAAATCCAAATAAAACTCAGGGAAGATTGTTGTTGTTCAAATGGCATGCTCCAAGTGTTGACCCTTTCTCTCCATACATATTTGAGGCAGCGTGGTGGAATCAGGCTCTCGTCAAAATAATGAAACCGAAGAAAGCAGCAGTTTTCTCCCTGTTTAGCAATCTTTATCAAATTTGGGGGGGCTCAACACCTTTTATGTCCATTTACAAACATTCCTTTGAGGATTTCACCGAAAATGTTGATTAAAGGTACAAAAATATAAATGTACAGTTTCCATGGACTCTCCAGCTTTGGAATTTACCAAGCTTTGGCGGCCATTTTCTCGCTAATTTTACCCCTTAAACCAGGTGACCCCCACCTCCTTCAATCCAAAATATTTCCACTTCTATTGAAGAAAGATGAGTAATATTTTCATTTAAAGCAAGACAAATTAACAAGCTTTAAGATGATACCAATACCTCAATATGCCCAAAAAGCGACGAGAGCCTGATTCCACCACGCTGCCTCACATATATACATTACAAGATCTAACACACCAGTGAACATTTTGAATAAGCCTGTGACATGTTTATGAGTCAATTCTTTGGATCTCCTGTTCAACATGGAGTTTCAACTGTTCGTTTTTGTGTGTGGTTTGTTTCCGTCGTCTCTGTCTTTCAACAACTCCTAAAGGAATTAATAAATGAATGCGTTTCCCAAACCTTTCTTCCAACCATACCAGGGACATTTTTGATGTGTGGGGTGTGGCCCCCATAACACTGACACCAGCATGACACAGTTTCCTCCCTTTAACTTCGTTTTGTTTTGTGATAAGGTTCTACCAAAGATAGTGCACCTTACGGTATACAACTATCTTTGGTTGTACTACGCTTGCAAACTGCATGATAATATTAGTGGGGTTTTATAGTTTTAGTAGTAGAGGTTTTACGGCGCTCGCAACTGCATAAGGTCATATGAGCGCCAAAAGATTAGAGGTGTTACAAGAGAGTAACAGACATTTAAAAAAAGAAGAGGAGATAAGGACGATAGATGTTTGATAGGAAAGAAGAAGCAAACCACACCAGAGCACCCGCCAACCACCCACGCATAATAATATGATCATCATTAAACTCTCTATAAAGGGAGAGGAAGGCCACTCAAAAGGTGGATCGAGGCTGTCAAAGGAAACCCTAAGAAATCATAACATCACAACTGAAAGAGCTGCGGAGCTGGCCTACCATAGAAAACTGCATCTCCCCTCGACGCTTAACGGCAAGAGGATGAAAAGGTAAAAGTAAAAGTAAGTATTAACCTCTCTTGAACCTTTTCAGCATGGTCAGATTCCCATCTGATGTGACCAGTCTTATCCTGAAACCAAAATAGTCCGATTACGGCGCTAACGCTGAACACTTTTAAGACGTACATTTTTGAGTTTTCAGTCAATTTTATTGAAATCTTAAAATAATTTGATAACAAAAAA